AACATCGTAAAAAAGTATTTAGGCAAACCCAAGAGCCATTGTTCTCAATGAAGAGAGATTAAAGGCAGTCCCTTTGTGAACAGGAACTAGGCAAGGATGCCCACTATCACCTCTCCTATCCAACATAGTATTGGAAATCTTAGTGATAGCAATAGGACAAGAGAAGGAAATAAGAGGTATCCAAATTGGAAAAGAGGAAGTAAAATTATCTCTATATGCAGATGATATCTAAAGACTCAGTGAGAAAACTACTGGACATAGTTGACCAATTCAGCAAAGTGGCAGGATACAAAATCAACATACAAAAATCAATTAGATTTCACTACAGTGTTCAAAGAGAACTGGAGCTAAGAAAAACAATACTCTTCACAATAGCTAATCACAAGATTGAATAGTTGGAAATAAATCTAACTAGAAACACAAAGAACACATTAAAAGAAAATTACAAAACATTACTCCAAGAAGCAAAAAGAGACCTGGAGAAATGGAAGAATATACCATGCTCTTGGATAGGAAGACTCAATATTGCGAAAATTACAATTCTACCAAAGGCAACCTACAAGTTCAATGCAATTGCAATACAAATACCCATTTCATTCTTTAAAGAAATGGAAAAGGCAATACATTTTCAATTTCGTCTGGAACAGAAAGAGAACCTAAATAAGAAAAGCACCCCTCAAAAAAAAAAAAAAGAGAGAGAAACATGGTGCAAGGCATCTCGCTCCCTAATTTCAAATCCTACACACAGGCGTGGTGGTTAAGATAACATGGTACTGGTACTGTGACAGGCATAGATCAATATAATAAAATTGAGATGTAAGAAATTAGCTAATCTACAGATAGTCAAATTATTTTTTACAAGATGAAATCAGTCAAGTTCAGAAATGACAGCCTCTTTAACAAATATTGCTATTGTAATGTGTCATCAAGTCACCTGCAACTCATAGCGACCCTATGTACAACAGCCCTAAACCCTGCTCTATCCTGTGCCAACCTCATTGTCTCCAACATACCTATCCCGTTTACTCCAGTCACTGATTCAATATACCTCATAGAGGGTTTTCCTCTCTTGCACTGTCCCTCTACCCTCCCAAGCATGGCATCTTTCTCCGAGGATTGCTCCCTCCTTGCAACATGTCCAAAGTATGTCAGATGAAGCTTCAGAATCCTTGTCTCCAAAGAGAAGCCTGTTTTAACCTTCTCTAAACATACCTGTTCATTTTCTTAGCTCAAAGGCATCAATTCTCCTTCTATCCTCCCTCGTCATTGTTCAGCTCTCTGATGCACAGCAAGTGATTGCAAAGACCATGGCCTGTATCAGGTGCACTTTAGTCTCCAGAGTGACACCATTACTCTTCAGTATTTTGGAGAGATCCCTAACAGCAGAATTCCCCATTGCAATGTGTCTTTTAATTCCCTGGCTGCTGGTGCCAAAAGTGTTGAGTGTGGAGCCAACTAAAGCTATTAACAATCTCAAATAGTATTGGAAAAATTGGAAAACTATCTGCAGAAAATTCAAGCAAGACCCACGACTCATACCATACACAAAAACCAACTCAAAGTAGATCAAGGACCTAGAAGTAAAACCAAGCATTATAAACATCATCAGAGAAAATCTTGGAAGAATGCTAGAAGCCCTAATCCACAAAATGAATAGTCTTCCAAGCATCCTGAAAAACCTATAACCAGGACAATGAGATAGTCTAAGAATCAAATATCTATGCATATCCAAAGACTTCTCCAACAGGGTAAAAATGAAGACACAGACTGGGGGGGGGGGAATGTGGTAATGACATGTCTCATAAGGGACTTATATCTAGATATACAGAATACTAAATTTTATACTTATATTTATATTCTAGACTTACAGCGAGAATTTATAGGATACTTGAGCATCACAATAAGTTAAAGGCATACAAATCAAGTGCAAAATAGGCACAGATTATGAACAGACATTTCACCAAAGTATACATTCAGATGGCGAACAAACACATGAAGAAATGTTCAAAATCCGTAGCTTTAAGAGAGATGCAAATCAGGACAACTATGAGATATCATCTCATTCCAGTAATAATAGCAAAGTTCAACAGAGCAGCGCACAAATGCTGGTGAGGTTGTGGAGAAATTTCCCAATTTCCTTATTCACTGTTGGCAAGTGTGTAAAATGGTGCAACCACTATGGAAGGCAGTATGGTGCTTCACCAAAAATTTGGAAATAGAAATACCATTTGACCCAGCAATTTCAATATTTTAAGCCTGAATTAATGTTATCAGATAAACCATCAACAGTGTTCTGTAACAACTGTAACTCCACACATCTGTCAAGCAGACTAGCAAATAACAAATTACCGTAATCCTTCCAGATAAAAGAGAGTTAATTACCATTTAACATACCCTTCTTTCAAAATTTTTCCTTTTTTGTTTTGTTAATCAGGCATACTAATCTTGGAATTCTGTGAATATAATGAAAGAACATTTTGAGGGAAGATTTTAAATGTTTTTTTTCCACCAAGAACGTCTGAGGTATTTGTTACGTAGAAACACTTTGCAGAAGGTGTGCTTTGTAAAATAAATTTTAAAAAACCCTAACACACATTAACACTGTGATTTTCAAATTACCTTAAAAATATTCTTTCATAAAAATGCAGCATCACACCACAACAAGATATTGGTAAAAAAATCAATATATATATTTATAATCCAATAGATTATCGGTAAATAATCCAATAGAAAAATGGGCACATAATATGAACAGACACTTCACCAAAGAAGACATTCAGATGGCTAACAAGCACATGAAGAAATACTCAAAATCCCTAGCTCTAACAGATATGCAAATCAAAACAACCATGAGATATCATCTCACCCCAGTCAGAATAGCAAAATTTAAAAGAACAGCAAGCAACAGATGCTGGTGAGGTTGTGGAGAAACTGGAACCCTTATTCACTGTTGGTGGAAGTATAAAATGGTGCAACCACTGTGGAAGGCAGTATGGCGCTTTCTCAAAAAGTTGCAAATAGAGATACCATTTGACCCAGAAATTCCACTACTGGTAATATACCCCAGAGAGACCATAACTGCCATCCAAGCAGATATATGCACACCCATGTTTATTGCGGCTTTGTTCACAATAGCAAGGAGTTGGAAACAACCTAAGTGCCCATCAACAAACGAATGGATAGAGAAGTTGTGGTATATTCACTCAATGGAATACTATGGTGCATTGAAAAACAAGGAACACATGCAATATTATTCAAAATGGGTGACCCTGGAGGACATTATGCTGAGTGAAGTATCTCAGTTACAAAAGGACAATTACTGCATGATGCCACTGTTGTAAAACAGGACTGACATTGGGGTTGGGGGGAGACTGAGAAAGATGTATATTGCATTAAAACAGATGAGGGAGAAAACTGTTTAAAAGGGATATGTGATTAGGTATTTTTGTCATGACAGAAGTCCAGAGCGAAGGCTCCATAGAAGAGGGGACCTTAGGGAGGGTTTGTAAAACAACAAAAGAATTTTTCTTTTACTTTTCCAAGAGGGTAGTATACTTGGGGGGAGGGGTGGGCAGGGAGAAAAGTACAACAATGAATGAATGGAAATACAAAGTCTCTGCAAATTTTCATTGAAATTAATAAAAAAATTTTAAAAATGGAGCATCACAATGTTGTTTTGCAGGGAACAGGAATGCTTTGCTAAATGTTAATGAAAACGTATGTGTAAAATTGGTGAATAATATATAAGCAATGTGTGAGCATCAGTAATTAGGATGATAGTTCTTAGGACTCAGAGGCTCACTGCTAAATACTCAGACTGATTAAAGAATTCTTAAATTAATTAAGAACAAGTGCTGGTGGCGTAGTGTGTACCACGTTGGGCAGCTGACCAAAAGTCTTGAATCTACCAGCTGGAAAGATACTCTAAATAAACCAGAACTGCCACCCAAGCAGATATATGCACACCCATGTTTGTTGCTACTTCGTTCACAATAGCAAAGAGTTGGAAAAAATCCAAGTGTCCATCAAAATACAAATGGATAGATAAGCTGTGGTATATTCACAATGGAATATTATGCAGCACTGAAAAACAAGCAACTCATAAAATGTTATACAGCATGGGTGATCCTGGAGGACATTATGCTGAGTGAAATACCTCAGTTACAAAAGGACAAACATTGCATAATGTCACTGTACTGCATTGAAAAAGATGAGGGAAAAAACTGTTTAAAAGGAATATATGAATGGGTATTATTTGCATGACAACAATCCAGAATAAGAGCTGCATAGCAAAGTGGACTGGGGTGAGCTGGTGTGTGTGTGCGAGGGAGTAGAGAAAATTGTGCAACAATGAAAAAAAATTTTTTCCAAAGAAAAAAGTGAACTGAGTGGGGGGTATGGAGAAAAAAAAATGCAACAATAAATTAATGGAAATCCAAGTTCTCTGTAAACTTCCATTAAAATCTCAATTAAAAAAATAAAGTAAAAAAAAAAAACCACTGAAGCACAATGTGAATGACAGAAAGTGTGAAATACAATGTATGTGAATTTTGCATGCAAACCAATATTAAATATTTTAAAAAAAACAAAAACAAACACCACAACCTGAGAGTCTGTAGACTTCTAAGAGCCTCCAATTCTGTGCAAATGTTTTTGAGCATTCATACTTGCACTGGGAACAGGGGAAGGAAGCGTTCACAGCATTCTTCAGATTCTCTTAGCTGTCCTTGATTCCAAAAAGGCTAAGAGTTCCTAAACTTGAGTATTACAGAAATATGAAATTGTGAGCCCCCCTCTTCTCCCACCTCTAGCCTTCATTATACAGACTGGGAAACAAAACCCAAACAGGAGAAAGGATAAATCTAAAATTTTACAGCAAGTTGAGGACTGAACTCAGGCTGAAATAACTGTTTCCTTGCAATGCCCCCTTCCCTCTCTTAGTCCTCAAAGCTCAAAGTCTTTCCCCTAGCCAACCAGACCACTAAAGGGCCCCTACCTACCTAACTGGAATCTTGAGGGGCAGCAATGGGCCAGGGTCTGGGTGGTAGTGGTAGGGTCTTGTCTCTTCCTTGTGGCTCTGGCCTAGCTCCTGGAACATGGAACTGAGACCCGCAACTGTGCCCTTCTGGATAGCATGGAGTGAATGGCGCTGATACTCATCCCGGGCATGCTGAGCACAATGGCTTCTTTCCTCATCCATTGCCTTGGAGCGGCGTACTGCAAAGAGGAAAATATATTTGAAGAACAGTATTAATAAAATTCAGGACTATTTTAGCACAAGATAAGGTTAAATGAAGTTTAAAGTTTTGCACTCTGTTGGATTTTTAGTTTTCATCACTGGTTAACTTCTCTGTAGTAAGTTTCAGAATCTTGAAGTTTCAACATTCAGTGCAGGTTATCTTTTCTATAATAAGACTTAGAATCCTGCTTTGTCTCAGTATCACTATACCCAAGTTCAACTTCTCCATGGTTTTTACTCCTGTAAGTTAGTTAAACTAGTGTGTAAATAATTGTGTATGAGACAATTAAAACCTCAATCTTATACTATGATCTCAAAAAGGTAAATAACTTTGCCATGTAAGAAAACCTTTTAGTCCAGGAAGAGATAACATAGTGTGTCAAAAGAGCTAGCACTGTTTGTAGTAGAAACGAGGCACTGTTTATAGAATCTGCATACTATTTTCTTAGTAATATGTGAATTGTCTTTCCTGGATTAGAAGCCTTGTAACTTTGAAATGGGAATAATAATATGTCAACTAAATTAATAGTTGACAAAGGTATGAAACCTCTGACCACATAGAAAGTGCCAATACAGTCTTGGAGATAAATCTTCTGGATTCAAGAACAAACAACACACTGATGGGCAAACCATCTCTGTCATAATCGGAGTAACTGATGGCAAAACCCCAATTTTATTTATTTGCCCAATTACATTTCTACTCAGATTTGCAACCCAGGCTGACAACGCACAGATTAGGACACAAGCACTCCTAGAGTCAACCACCAAGGCCCACAGTAGGCTGCATAGGACCTCAGAACCCAAATTGTCAGGGAAAGCTCAGCCCCAGCTACAGCCCTACTAGGAAACCTTCTTGTCTGGAGGAGAAGTAAAGATATTCATGACAGTTTGATGTCACCTGTATGTTCCCATCACCTCAGTCCAGGGATAACAAGTAATCTTGCAGAGAAAAGTTATCTTCATATATATTGCTGTCTAGGGAAACTGTTCATATCTTTCTCTTCCCCTCAAGATCACAACCATTCCAAATGCCCCATTCAGCTCAAGGGTACCTGTCAAGATTGTCAGAATCTCTGAACACTACCACCATCATTCATGCTCATTCCTGTTCACTCTGTGCCAAGCCCTGGACTTTGACCTTCCCTTGATTTGTCTTGTTATAGGCAATTCCTCAACCCTCCAGGGGTCACTTTATGATTCCCAAGTGGCTCCAACACTGCAAGTACTTTGCACCACATAGACACAGCCCCCGAGCTTCCTTCTCTTAAAAGTTAGACATGTGTGAAATAGGAGACCCTGCTTTTCTTATGAAAAGCCCATCCTAATGTTATATATGTAGAAATTGAAGCATGAGGGAAGATAGTGATTTGCCAACTGGGGCAGCAGATATGCTAGATCAGGCACCTTCCTTTTTGTGCCTTGGAAATCTATTCCCCTTCACTCATGTTTTCCTTTTTTGTTTTCTGTGAGTGATATTAAGAACTAGCAGGTATGTGCATTAAAGAGAGAGGAAGAAGACCTTATCTGTCACTCTACAGGTTATAGACCTCTAAAGTTTAGAACACAGTCAGCATGTGATACATATTTTTGGAATGCTGAATGTATACAGGATATTTAATTCAATATCAGGCAGTAAGCCTGAATTATCATGAAGCAGACCTTCCCAAATCACTCCCAAGTCAATCTGAGGTATAAGATCTAGAAGTATTTCTAACATGTCAGAATCAAGGCCTTCATTAGCATTCAGAGAAGCAGAGCCCTACTTTGTCAGAGAAAGAAAGAGTGGGCTCCATGTTCAGGTTCGTATCTGTGTATTCCAGACACTAAGAGAACCACAGAATGGTCATGTAGTTAGAGATGAGATTTCTTTAAAAATAAACACTAAAGCTCGTGGCTTACAGAGATCAGTGGCCTTTGGAAAAAGACAAATACTCAGCAGCAGACAGATGACACAGGTTGCAGAAGTGGATCTTAAGTAGCTAGAAAATGTTCATGTAGCTAAGATAGAAAAGGTCCTGAGACTCTTCTAAAATTAATGCTGACCTTATCATTTGAAGCCTGTCTTTTCTTCAAAAGCATTTACTGCCAGTCAAGACCAAAGAACTGCCAGTTAGTCTAGTGTACACTGCTGCTCTGCAGAATCGTGAGCAGTGGCAAATGTTGTTGCTTCAAGTCACCAAGTTTTGGGTTGATTTGCTATGTAGCAATATTTTAAAAATGCCTGCTTTATTAAAAAAGTCTGCCCCAACTTGATAAAGATGGCCTTAGTTTCCTTTCTCAAAGTTTCTCCATTTCACTTTTTATGTGCATGTACTGTAATTGTGGTGCTGGAGAAGAGCATTGAGTATATCATGGTCTGCTAGGGAAAAAAACAGGTTTGTCCTAGAGAGGGTGAGAACAGGCTGCTCCTTGGAAGAAAGAATTCTAAAGCTTCATCTGAAATACTCTGGACATGTTGCAAGGCAGAACCAGTTTTTGGAGAAGGATGTCATGCTTGGGAGGGTGGAGGGACAATACAAGAGAGGAAGACCCTCTATGAGACAGACTGATTCAGTGACTGGGGTGATCAGGGTATGTGTGTAAGAGACAATAAAATTATCACAGGATATAGCAGGGCATAGGCCAACACTCTTGGCACCAACAGCCAGGAAATAAAAAAATGAATTGCGATGGGAAAGTCTGCTGTTAGGGACCTCTCCAAAGTACTCAAGAGCAAAGGTGTCTCTCTGGAGACTAAGATGCGCCTGATACAGGCCATGGTTTTTGCAATCACTTGTTATGCATCAGAGAGTTGGACAATGACTAGGGAGGATAGAAGGAGAATTGACACCTTTGAGCTGTGGTGCTGGAGAAGAGTATTGAATGTACCATGGACTGCCAAGAAAACAAACAGATTCATCCTAGAGAGGGTTAAACCAGTCTACTCCTTGGAGGCAAGGATTCTGGGGCTTCGTCTGACATACTTTGGACATGTTGTAAGGAGAGACAGGTCTTTAGAGAGGGACATCATGCTGGGTAGAGTGGAGGAACAGCGCAGGAGGGGAAGACCCTCTATGAGGTGGATTAATTCAGTGACTGGGGTAATCGGGATGGGTTTATCAGAGGCAATGTGATTGGCACAGGATAGAGCAGGGTTTAGGGCTGTTGTACATAGGGTCGCTATGAGTCTCAAATGACTCGACGGCACATAACAACAACAACAACAACATGGGAGAAGCTAGAGATCATTATGCTGAGTGAATTTAGTCTCATAAGGACAAATACTGCATAAGACTATTATAAAACAGCCAGAGATGGGGCTCTGTGCCAAGAGTAAGCAATTTCCATTGCTTGGGGGGAGACAGGACTGAAGCATCCCTGGTGTTGTAAGTCCTTCTCTCTTTAGTTCCTTGCCTCTTCAGTTGTAGGGCCATCCCAGGGACCAAATAAGACAAGATATTTTAGTGTGCAGAACTTTGGGCAAAAGGAAGAAATTTCTTGGCTCTCTGAGACAGGGGGCTGACCTGAGAGTCTCTGCAAATCGGTGGTTCTCATCTCCCACCACACTAGAGACAAAGGAAGGCATCAAGCCACAGGAGAAAAGGTCCAAAAGAAGTGGAACTCAATGCTAAGAGTGAGCACTCTACATTGCTTGTGGGGAGAGAGGACTGAGACATCCTGGTGTTGTAGGTCCCTCCATCTGGGAGTCCTTGTCTCTGAGCTGGAGTGCAATCCCAGGGGCAAAACAAGACAAGAGACTTAACTATACAGATCTTTGGACACAGGGAAGAATTTTCTCGGCTATCTGCGACAGAGGGCTTACCTGTGAGTCTCTGCATACAGGCAGCATGAATAAGTGGTCTTACTCTACCACCACACCAGAGACAAAGGAAGACACTAAGCTGCAGGACAAAAGGTCAGGAGATGTGGGACTGTGTGCAAAGAGATAGCATTCTCCATTGCTTGTAAAGAGACAGGACTAAGGTGTCCTTGAGGTTGAAGGTCCTTCCATCTGGGGAAGAGTTATCTGGACAGCTACAGAAGAAGGTATAAATGAAATGATCGAAGAAACAATGGAAAACAGTAAAAAAGAAATGTTCCAGAGACACAGAGCCAGAAAAAAAAATATATTGATGAGGAGGAACTTGCACAAATATGGAAGAAAATAAAAATAAGAAAAAAGGGGGGAAATGAAACTACAGTTAATGAGATACAAGAACGTTAAAAAAAATCATCACAAGATGGAGATGGTATGCCAACACAGTACTAGAAATAACAGAAAGAAATGAAAATGGCATCCAGAACATTAAGACTGACATGGCAGAAGTGTCTGATAGCTTGAAGGACAAAAAAATAGAACAGAAGAGATGTAGCAGAGAATAAGTGATCTGAGAGACAAGAAACTCAACAGAAACATGTTGTTGTTGTTGTTGTTGTTATGTGCCATCGAGTCACTTGTGACTCATAGCGACCCTATGCACAACAGCCCTAAACTCTTCTCTGTCCTGTGCCAATCGCACTGTCTCCAACACACCCATCCCGATTACCCCAGTCACTGAATCAATCCACCTCATAGAGGGCCTTCCCTCCACCCTACCAAGCATGATGTCCCTCTCCAAGGACCTGTCCCTCCTTACAACATGTCCAAAGTATGTTAGATGGAGCCTCAGAATCTTTGCCTCCAGGGAGCCGCCCAGTTTAACCCTTTCCAGGATGAATGTGTTTGTTTTCCTAGTAGTCCATGGTACCCTCAATACTCTTCTCCAGCACCACAGCTCAAAGGCATCGATTCTCCTTCTATCCTCCTTAGTCACTGTCCAACTCTCTGATGCATAACAAGTGATAGCAAAGACCATGGCCTGTATCAGATGCACCTTCGTCTCCAGAGAGACACCATTGCTCTTCAGTACTTTGGAGCGGTCCCTAACAGCAGACTCCCATCGCAATATGTCTTTTAATTTCCTGGCTACTGGTGCCGAGAGTGTTGACTGTGGACAAC